CACTACAGTTGCGAAGTCCGATTGCCCGTATGACAGGTAAATTTGGTAAAGACACAACTAACTGAGTTGATAATGTGCATTGCTACCGTATAGAGTTTCTAAAGCTCACCGTTCGAGCGTTTATCCTTCGTCAGAGCACTCTCACGACGGGCTAACGTTCGAAACGTCAGATTCAGAACCTCTTTATCATGGCCAAATTAAATTCAGCTGATAGAGTCAAAGTATCCTATACAGAGAGTCTGTGGCTCACAAGTAGAGCGTCAGATCACGGAATCCAAAGGTCTGAGGTTGGATTCCTCATAGGAGCCCAAAATTTCTTTCTTTGTCCCTGGAAGAAAGTGTCATTCGCGCAAGGTTTCACGTCGAAAACTCGCCTGAACGCAAAACCTATCAAAGAAAACGAAATACTATCATCTTTCAGGTACTATAGCGTGTAATATCATGGTTTTAACCCTTATTGTTTGTATTTTAAAGGATGGTAGTTGCCGGGTATAACATGACCAGAGGAATCTTTCCAGACAGCGCCTATGTGTTTAATTACAAAGATGCTTATGGACTGAGTCAAGATGAGGTACATTATTCTTATGCAACGATAAGAGGTTTTGATGGAGTTATAGATGACTCCATAAGTTAAAAATGTTTACCAAACCAGCGTAGAAAGGTCTGCATCGGGTTGTCCTCAGATGAAGGATTTTGTTAAGGTTTTCCAGCGTTCCGCTTCTCTTGAAGTTTCCATCCTGTTGTTTGATCGTGTAGAGAAGGACTGTTGTCTGTCGCCAGAAAACGCGCGCTATTATCTCGACCAATCAAACGCAGAGCTAAAACCAATCTCAACTTGGTCACCCGCGTTTTTGCGCGCTTCAAGCAAGTTACCTGTTTTTAGTTAGAGTTCGCATTGGTTGATGATGACTTTAACCTTTTTCCTGATTGTCAGTCGTGATTACTTTGGTTTTGTTGTTTCGACACGCAATTGAAAACTGCTGTATTGGTTGACTCAAGAAGTTTCGATCTGTCGACAAGGTTAGGTGATTTTCCATAGTAAGTTCATTGAGTCAATTTTGTGTTTAAGTCGTCTTCATAGTGTTTGCTGACATCGGTAGACATCTGTTGAGAGGAGACTGCTACATATTTAGTAAAACATCATCCAAAATCATTCCTTGAAATTATTCGGTGCACTCGATTACACATTGCGCGGAGTCTTGGTCAAAAGTGAGGTTCATAAATCAAGAATGTTAAGCAATGTTGCTGTTAATTAACATACTGCATTACTGTTTTCTGCAGGCGAAGAAAGTGAGTGATCACTGGCCCATTGAGATACAATTTAAGGATTCAAGTGAGTAAATTTCAGTTGTAATTGTAGCACAAATAACAACGGATATTAGTAACTTCCTCGCCTTCGGCTCGGTTGCCACTTTTTCTGTCGTTATCGCATTAAAACTTCTTCTGAGTCATCTAGAACTGAACAGAATTGTAGAAAAACTGGATCGATTTATCAATTTGCTGTTCTTTTCTTCTTCTCATAAGCTTACAGAGATGAGGAACAGTTCTTCCAAGAGTCTTTTACTGTCACAATCAGGGATAAGCGTATGTCAAAGGTCTCCAAATACAAGCTTTACGCAATGCGTTCCAAAAACCCACTGCTGTCGCAAGGTTTCACTTTGAAAACTACTTACAACAACAGGAAAATTGACGAAATTATCATTTCAAAGGAAACCGCTTCAGTCGGAGAGGCGAGAGATGCCGTAGAGGTTTTCCGCAAGACTTATCCAAAGCTAGTTTCTTCCTCACAAGAAGCTGTAAGCAAACGAAAAATGGGCCAGTTAACACAAGTTGGAGATGCCGACTGCGTCGCTAGACAGCACGAGACAACAGTCTACCAAATGCTCTCCAACACTTGCCATGATGTGAAAGTGAAGGAGATTTATTCAGTTCAACTTGTCTGTAATGTACCACTTGGCTTGTGCGAGATCAATGTAAAAGTAGCTAATTAGTCTTTGTCACCTTTAGCATTGCAACCATTGTCCATTTCGTCAGCTTTTCCGTAAATTACATGTAGCCTGCCGGTTTGGTCTGTTTCGCACAAACGATCGAAAGATAAACGCACGTCACAGATATTTGTCGACACCCAGCAAGAGCTGTTGAGTCTAACGCCCGATTAAGAAAAAATGGGAATATAAGATGCCGATTTGCTTTAGTTGTCTTCTCTTTTGGTTTAATTCTTATTCGGGCGATGCAGTATTGTATTGATTTATGATATTTTTTGAGTAACTGTAAACTGATCGCTGTTTAGCCTTTGTACGCTTAAAATATAAGAATTAAAAAACAAAAAGGTAACAATAACACACTCTTTGTCACCTTAATTCCCTGCCTCCCTTACTTCTATGGCTGGCGACGCCAGCTTGAATTCGACCTGTGATGCGGGTTCTCGTAAATCAAATCAGTACACGCGGGCAAAGAGAGAGATGCTTAGAGAGGACTAATTAACCCTTCTAAGAGTCCTAAGAGTGACCAGCATCTTATTTCTCCTTACAGTAATTCTGCTTAATCACCTATAAAAATCATGAGAAGAAAGGGAATTACAGACAACCTACGAGGCTTTGATTGTTACACATATTCTCCTTGTTATCACCAACAGGAATTTATAGGGAAGAGTATTGAGAATATGGATACTGATGTTAAGGCTGAAGGGGTAAACTCCAATTGCATTTTGTAAACTTTCTTCGGTCACGTTTACGATCATAGCGGAGTAAGAAAGGTACAGCTTTTAATATGAACGCATTCCAACCATAATAGAAGAAGAAACGATAAACTTTTCTTAGCAGGGCTTAAGCGCAGGCGCTCGTTGGCGCAGCCGCTGCACGGGGATTTCGCGGGCCTCTATCAAAGTATGCGAGAGTTCATTACAGATAACATGGAATCTTTGAAGGCTTTGATCACACATGCATACAACCAAGAAGGTGGTCAATAATGAGGCGCGCACCGAACGAGACAGGCAGAGTGGAGTGAGTGGCGCGTAAAAAACACGCGCGTCGCCAGGAAACGTTTCCTATAACAAATCACTCCGAAAGAGTTTGTTCCATCTCCTTATACATGTAACGCACTCGCAAGGTTCGTTTCCGTTATAAGGATAACAGATCACAGCACACATGTATAACTACATAGACGTTTCCAAGTTTAATAGTTCAACCTTTTCTTATTTTCAAACTGATGATATGGTTTTATTCATTGCCGTACCCAGGGCCCTCTCTTGCCTTGGGCAAGTGCGGGACCTGGATAAAAGCTTCGTTAATTCAGGAGCTCTTACCGAGCTGTATCAGAAGAACTCTATTTACAGACCGCGATAAATGCGAATCGTAAGACATCGAATTGTAGAATATAACAACAATATGATAAATGCGTAGTAAAAATACTTAAAACTATTTACAGTAACAAGAGATTGTTGTCTTTTCTGTACAACTTTGATTATTATTGGGTACATATCTCTGAAATAGGAAAGACCATATTCTTTCCCGTTCACATTTAAATTTTTTCAGCCTTGGTGTAACAAATAACTAGAGAATATTACCTTGATATAGATACAGTCACAATTGTTTTCTTTGACAATGGACAATATATTAGACATTGAGGACTTTGAACCATTTTAGTTATGGAGGGGCAAAATTATAATAAATGTTGCTGTTTTTAGCAGTTTTGTGAGACAAATGTTTTCTTTGATTTTCTTTTCCAGGAGAGTAATTTTTTGATGATACTTTCATCCCCTTCCCCACCCCCTTAAAAGATAAAATGGTCAATCTTTTAGCAAAGGAATTAATTATTATGCCAGCACATTTGGGTTTGAACATGGAGATATTGCGAAAAGTATTTTATTTTGAGATGTATTGATTAACACGCTGGATTATTTTACGCAAAATGAATGCTTAGTTGATAATTAATAGTTCAGTAATAATTTATCATTGCTTTGAAGTATCTGGGAAACTGTCCAAGTGACTGAAGGATCAGGAGAACAGAATTTTAAAATTGTCCAATTCAGATCATCTATCAACGTACTTTTCTCTGTAGGATACTGAAAACAAGAAAAAATGGTTTTACATGGACATGAAGATACGGAATGGTAAAGTTTCCTTTCTCAATCTTCTTTAAGACAACATGCAGATTAAGTACCTAATCACATGTTAGCTTTCACTTAATTTATCACACACTTGAGACGATTCACAAATATTCAAAGATGGCCATAGGCCAATTCTCTGCCCCAGAAGAGACAAATATTGTCAAATTAATCCCTCAGACAAGACCATGGCGACTAATTGACTATAATAACCGAGCCTGAGGAGACTAATTGTGTTACTAGAGGTACTTGGGGGATTATCAGAACAATAGAGTTTCTCTCTAGTCAGAGGCTTCCTCTTCACGGACACCAACAAAATTAATTTCTCTGCATCCATTTTGAAAATTACTGCTCTAGTATCAAGCGCAACCTGCTATTACTGATTTTGGATAAATAGGAAATGGTTCAACTGAACGGAGAGGACACATCTGTAGAATACTCCATCCACTAATGTAACACTCATGTAACAGGATTGTCAAAAAAGAATTTGAGTAATGAGTTTGGGATTCAAAAGAGGCCACACAAGGTCATGCTTCAATGCTGAAACTTGTGCCACAAGCATTCACGACAGCCGGCATGCTTTTCAGTAGGCGTTGAAAGGCACCAATTGCTAGGAATCTTTTGACAACCCTGTATAAATAGCATAATCAACAAACTTCAACATACCAGGTAATTATCCTGGTAACAAAATGACCAATTTAAGTTTTCCCTTTCCCTTAATATTGATATCATAGCAAATTCACATCACTAGGATAAAGATCAGTGAGATCGTCACAATCAATGATGGATAAATATTGCACCTTCAGTTAATAAAATAAATGTATCTACATACGGCTAGTAAATAACAGTTTAAAAGTATGGTACACCAGTCTTTAAAATAAGAACCTGTTTGCAAGGAGAAGTAGAAAAAGAAATAAAGCCCAATAACTTTGTTCAGCTTTCTTAATTACCTAAAGTTCTAGTTACCAGTAGTTTTAGTGTTGATGCCGTGTTCTTGTTTGAATTAAAATGTACCAGTACCACCAAAATGCTTACTTAAAAAATTAATAGGGGTGTTAACCACTGATTACTAAATATGTCGTGATGGTCTTAAAATATGTTGAAGAGGACAAATTGATCAAACAACGAACAGCACACAGTACCCATTTGCTGGCTGAATGGCGAAGATCTTTGGCTTGATTTTTGTTTGTTCACTGTATTGTATCCATTTGCTGCCTTGTACACAAACTCTGATCCACAGTGTTTAAAACTCTGAGTTTCCTGACTCTTTTACAGGTGAATGTATTCCTGATACTCACCTTACTGACTCGCTGCTCCCTAAGGATGCTTCACATTGCATTATTTTTTTACTCTTGTTTATATTGATGACTCTTTTGAAGATGGAGTAATGTTGGTGTTGTTAACTACTGTTGTAACAGTGGGAGAATGCGCCAAATCGAAGCTTGAATTTGTGTTGAATTGAGATAACCTTTCTGCGACACACTGAGCTGTTAACCTAGCCTCTGCATCTTGATCCCAACATTCTTCAATAGTTTGAAGAAGGCTCGCCATATTCTAGGTACAAAATAACAATCAATCATTTAGTATTCTGAGACATTTTTATGAATACCACAACTCCCTGAACACTTTAAACCTTAAGAGTGACTAGCTTCTAATTTCTCATTAAAGTATCACCACTGAACCAAATATAAAGGTAGAGGATGAAGAAAATGATGAACATTTTAAGAAGCTCCTGATTGTCAAAAAAAAAAAAAAAATTCTTATCTGCAGTTTCTCTAAACCAATCCTGATTTAAAATCTTGACAAAACTATACCATGCAAATGATAGCATCTTAAATTCAAACTGATTTCTTTCAAGTAAGATTTCTGGTTTAAACTGTTCACTATTATCAAAAACCGCATGTTTAATTTTAAATGGACCTCCAAATGCAGAAAAATGCCACAGAAAGAGTCCAGAACTTCAAACTTTCCATGGGGAATCTGCATCTCCTGTGGAACAGGAGATTCTCAAGGCCTTCAAAACTAGCTGCCTGCTATTCTCACTGCATGTACCTATTTGTATCATGTTATTGAAACCACCAAAGGGATGCTACAAAACCCTTTGACTCCTAAGAGTAACTAGCATCTCATTTTTCCACACAGTATCACCCCTGAATCAAATAATAAGGTCATGCAAATAAAGGAAACGGTCACCAACTAAAGAAGCTTTTGATTGTCGAACAAATTCTCTGGTGTTGATAGAGATAATAGAGATGGTAAGTTTTTGAGCTCGGTAAGGAATTAAGAAAGATGTTTTTCGTCTTGTCAGGAGCGTGGGACAAAAAAAAAATTCTGAGTCCCCACGAGGAATCAAACCTCAGACCTTCGGATACAGACCATCCGAAGGTCTGAAGTTTGATTCCTCATGGGGACTCAGAATTTTTATTTGTCCCATGCTCGTGACAAGATGAAAAACATCTTTCTTAAATTCTCTGGTGTTAGAGAGTAAAAGGTAAATGTTTGTACCGAGTGGACAAACCAGTCTGGTCGGAATTTAGGTCTGATCTTTTGCTGTACTACAACTTGTTGCATGTCCTCTAAGGAAGGATGTGATCCTATTTCTTCTTCAAATGGCAACTTGTATTCATCAACAGGACCTGACAAAAAAATATTCTCCACTTTAGAACCAAGGAAAAATACTCTTTGTGGCATGTGGAAATAAAGTATTTATAATATTCCAACCCATTGAAATAAATCATATTGTGAACTGCGCATAATGCTCAATTAAAAAAAAGATCCTCATTTGTAGGCTATAAGGCTAAAAATATTCCGGCTTTAGGAACTCATGCTATCCAGATACCAGTTGGATGCTTCAACCAACTGAGCTGTAAAGCCACATGTTGGTAGTGAGGCAAATTTCTGCAGGTTCTTTGTTCCCATTAAGAAATCTGATCATAATCAAATGAAATAAATGATCTTTTGACCCTCACTGATAAAAATTGACTCTTTGACCCCAACGAGTGACCAGCATCTAATTTCTCCTCACAGCAATACTGCCACATCATTTAA